TCAGTCATAAAAGCTGAGATATTATCTCACATTAACAACTTGAAAGGCATTTGAGGGTATTTATTTTTCAGGAAAGGAAACACCAGTTGAGGATCGGAAAAAAGGGGGATTTTTGCCGTCACCATGACTTGACTTGAACTGGTCGGGTGTCAAGGGAGGTAGGTGACGGGGCAGGTCAGACTAGGTCAGACTCTGGGTGACTCTCCAAGCAGTGGGGTGACAGGGCATGTGGCTTGTTTTCTTTCCCGCTGATCAAAGGCCTTTAAAATACACTCAAGGCCGGTGGTGCTGTCTGTCCATCCCGCAGACTACGTTTGTACAACCTGTTTACACGGCCTTGCTCAACGTCAACTGTCGGGTTCCAAGGAAGGAGGGTAATTCAGGTTCAAGGACAGCGCTTTAGAAATGCTTTCCTTTCTGAAAGAAAACCCAAGCGTCTCTCTGTTTACGAAATGCTTGCATTTCAAAAGTAATTTTTCTCTGCTGCTGGATTTAAAAAAAAAAAAAAACATACTCCACATCTGGTACTACTTACAGAATAGGTCTGATTGTTTTTTTGCAAATTGAACAATTAATTCAGGCAAACAACCCAAGATTTAATTCAATTTAAAATTAAAAAGGGTGGACGGCCACACTGGCTGCAATCCTAGGCTGGTGGACTTTGAGGCTCCGGTAATTAGTTTTAGACAATATTGTGACCCAAGCAAGTCCACACAGGGAAGAAGCCCAAGTGTGTTTGGTACCAGTGCCCGGCCTGCTTTTATAAAGCGCTTCCCCAGAGTGCCAGTGAGGTGACAGAAAATGACCAGAAACCACGGGCAGGGATTCGGAGGACCCGTGGGGCCTTCCGCATGGGGATCCAGCACACGGCCCAAGGGAGTTTGACCAATGCTTTGCATCCGGCTCTTGAGAAGCAACGCTGGACATTTCGCCAGCTGCCCAAGGCCAGAGCGAGCTGGCAACGTGACCTGAGACTGCGAGGGGCATGGGGGAGGCAGGAGCACCCACCTGTACTGGGGGGGCAAGAAAAGGCACAGGAGAAAGTCCCAGTCCAGCTGCAGATGGCCTCAAAGACACGGTCACGCGTCATGAAGCCTGACACAGGGAACAGAATTAGAAAAGGCGGTGAGGTCATTGCTTTTCCGAAAGATTCCATCACTTGGGGAAAGAACTGCGGAGTGTGGAACCCAGGGGGTTCTAGAACCCTCTCTCCTTCCTCTATGGCTTAACAGGTCGGCTCGCTTCAGGCAACCCCAGGTTTCCTCCTTTGGGCGTTGGGTCTCCCTCCCCCTCTTTATCCCTCCTCCCTCCCTCCCTCCCTCCCTCCCTCTCTTCCTTCCTCCTTGCCTTCCCTCCTCCCTTTCATTTTCCCTTTTTTTCTTTTATAAAATAAGTTGTGC